ACTTATTGTCATCCTGTCTCAGAACAATGAGCTCCAAGGAGACAGATTTGGAGCAGACTCCAAGACCACAGTTTCCCTTAAAATTTTGCTCGAGAAAGCCCCACTTTTATCCTGTCTTCCTTTTGCTTTCTGACACAAATGCAGACAAAGGTTTGACCTCAATATTGTTGGGGGGTAAATTGGAAGTTTCTGCTTCATGTCTTCCCTGAAAGAAGCAGAGGATGTAATTCCCTCTAACTGCAGATCTGTCAGATAATAGTAGGTGTATTTCAGCATCATCTCGAACAGGTGTCGACCAACGCTAATGGTCCCTTCCAGTCACAAGGTTGAACTATCATATTGACCTACAGGTGTTCCCCTCTGCTTCTCCTTTAAGCCCAAGAGTGCAATACATTACGGGAATTGGGAAAACAAGCAGATTTCCCTGTGACTAAACCTGCTAGAACGTGACTAAGCATTAACCAGCAGTCTCAGTGTGCTCAGCTCAATGCCCTAATGCCAGCGCTCTGGTTTAGGAGAATAAAGCTATATTAAATGCTTTTTTTCCCTTCTTTCTGTTAAACCCCTATTCCTCATCTCTATAAGGAGAGTGTGGGGCTTTTGATCTTTTATAAAGCATATCTAATATCCATATTCAAAAGACTGCTTTTTTTCCCTTCTTTTTTTTTGCCCAAGCAGAGGCTATAGCTCTCTGAGGCAAAAAGGAATTGGTTCAATACCTTCTGAGCAGCTCCTGCGACTAGACATTTTTGAGTTTCATATTGACACATGCTAATTTCCTTTAATTTTAATCATGTTTATATTAAGACTTTGAAACTAAAACTTGATGATTTTTGTTTTTTAAATGTGACAAATAGTAGAAGGTGTTGAAATCTTTCTGTAACTCCTTCTATCTCATATCCAAGAACTTCTTCTGAGCTATCCCTTTATGGTAGGCTATAAATACACTAAGGCATTTTCTTTTTCTCCTTTCTTGATGTCACTCTACGTCTTTCTGACTGACTGTCTTGGTCTTTCTCATTTATATCGCCACCCCCATTGAAATGGCAGTGCTTGCATGGTGACATAATCCCAAAAAGCTTGATGTGGCTAACTTTATAAGTAGTGCTTCTTGTGCGCCTGGGTCTCAGCCTCAGCAGAAAAAAAGTAGAATGGAAATGTTGCATTAAGCCACTTATCAGGGTTGAGCACATTCGGATAATCCTGCGTGCTCAAAGTGGCTCCTGTTATGCAGCTGCTTGTGTAGTACTGTTAGCGACAGAGTTTCCCCCTCTTATTGGTGTGCACATCAGTGTGTGAATGAATTGAGAATGTCGTGTGTGTGCGCGCGCAATGTGGTATTTGATGCAGTGTGTGTGAGTGAATGTGAAAGTTGATTTGGGAAAAGCTTGAGGTATGTGTGTTCAAGGAGACGCAAAGCAGGTAGTCAAAGCGTCATCAGGTCCCATGGCTGAAAATCCAGATGGGGCTCCCTCTTCCTCCTCCTTTACTTCCCCCTCGTCCTCTCCGTGTCGTGCTGTCCCAGTATTTTCTTTCTTTCTTTCTTTTTTTTTCAGCACAGCTCACTTCATTAAATGATAGCCAGCTGTGATCATAGCCTGCTAAAACACAGCAGCAACCTAAGCACCTCTCTTGCACACAAACGGTTGTTCACTCACCCACACAGTCTCGCTTCTCTTACAGTAGCTTCATACCTTGTTTTTTTTTCATCTTGCACTAATTTTCTTAATTATCCCTCTCTTTCTTTCTCCTCATTTCTTTTCTCTTCGAAGCTTAAAAATGTCCAGTCTTTTATATACGATAGTCTCTTGTGTGTTGCCAACATCCAGGTGCAGGTGAGGCTGTTCTAACACCTGTGTGTATTCCTGCATGTCGAACAACCCCACACCCACCGCTTTCTTTTTTTATCACCTTGGTATGCATGCTGCAACAGCTGAACTGTGAAATTTCCACTAAAACCTTTAGCACTGTTAAATGCAGTCTTTGATCACATGTGCATCTTCACCAGTTTTTAAGTGTGTATTTGTTGGCATGTCCATTTTAAATAGTTGCAAAAAGAACAAGCTGTGAGGAGCTGGGTAGATAGACCGTGCAGGAAACGACATGTTTTTTTTTTCCCTTTTCTGTTTTTAGCTAGAGCAAAAATTAATCACCTACATGCTATTGAGATAAGCTGCCTGTCACTGTGCTCCTGTCTGGAAACCCCATCATGCAGAACCCATACTGGGCTTCTCACAACATGGTACCCTTCCCATATCACAGCTTAGCATAAGTTATCTGTAATAGCCTTTCACTTAAGACCACCGCAAATGGAGCTCATTCTAGGAAGCTCAACAACCCCACAGTCACGAGCCTGTCATTATGTTGCGTTATTGGCAAAGGTTGTTTGCACTGAATGCTAATTCGACTTAGTCTTCATGCATCCGTGCCGGTAACAGTCATGGCATAAGGCATTGTTTTTTATTATTTGCACAAAGATCCATTTGGGCAGATAAAATCATTAGATTCAGGTATTTAAGGTTAAGTTCACTGAGCTGGTCAAAACTTACCAATTCATATGCTTATGATAGATAGGATGAAATGATAAATCCTAAGTCCTTAAAAATGAATAAAATGTCTTAAATTCACTTGGATATGAGTCTTAAATATTTTAGTCATGACCCCACAAGATTTTACAGCACACAGTGCTGCTTGCTTGCTTGCTACTTCAACTTAATTGGTCACAGTGTTTTTTTAAAAAAAAAAAAAATGTTTATGAAAATGTATAAAGGGAAAAATACAGTAAACGGTAACAGCAAGATGATGAGATAAAGTACATTGCTAACTTAACAGTTGTAGCTTACCCGTTTAAAAAATATTAGAATTACAGAAATTCTCAGCAGGCCTGGTTTAGGCCCAGTGGGCCACTAGGCTTACAGCACACTGGTGTAAAGCCCATACATGATGATAACAGTAGAGAAGGCTTTGCTAGCCAGACTGCTCAGTCTAAGATGTAAGTTTAAAGATAAATGGCTTGAGAATAAGAATTTCTCTTGGTGGTTCAAGTCGATGCCTGGAAATCCTTAGAAAACAAACTGCTTTGTATGCCAGAGGTTTTCCAAACTTCTTCACTGTCGACATCTCTCCATTGCAAATTTGGCATTATATTAAATTTAAAGTGGTATTAAAAAGACCTTTCTTATACCCTTAGACACAGAATGAAGCTGTGACATTTGATCATTGTGAATTCCGAATGTTCTTTAAGCCCACTGTGTTGGCCATTATTCAACATTGTAACTCAGAAGCAGAAAGGAAGATTTGATTTTTCGTACTGAACTAGTGACCCGTCTTTAGACTTTGGGGATTGCGGTGTAGTTTTTCTGTGCCGCAAGGTTGAAGATGCAAAATTTTTGCAGCAACATCCCTTTTTCCCCCTCTCTCTTGTGGCTACAGCCTTACGTTGGTTCAGAATGACCTTATTGGCTAGGCATGTGAACACAGAACTCACATTTGATAAGCCAATATTTTTTTTATTGCAGAATACAAATTTGCAAAAAACAAAAAAAACAACAACAACTATTATTTGAAGTCTTTTTGAAATCATCTTCACACTAAACCCTTTGCCAGTATACACGCAGAAACGCCAGTGTATAGTAAAAAAGAAAAACAAGTATTTTGTTCCTTTGGCAGAGTTGACTGAATATTCCCATGTTGCTTGTCACCTCAGCAGAGCAAACGCATTTTGTCTCTCACTTCTCCTACTGTCCTTATCACTCCCCCACTTTCTAATCCATCCACTGCCTCTCCCCCTCTGTTTCACTCTCCTCTGGGGGGTTCTTATAGATGGCTCCGCCTTATCAGAAGATCTGGTAGATGGCCCGTGGAGAATAGGCCTGGAACTCCTCTAATCTAACATTGCTGGTCAGAGTTATAATCTGTCATCACCTTGCTTAATGGGGAACCAATGGAATTTCAGATACAGAGCTTATAGCATCCAGCATTACATTTTGCTTGGATGTTGAAATCTGCCCCAGTCTCCTCTTTCTGTGTTGGTTTTCTCCTTTTTACTATTTCCTGTTTGATCTGATTTCTGCACTCGGGGTCTTGTGTCACATTGCTTTGGCTTTTATTCTTCTTCTCCCACGCCTAACCATGGATATGGGCATGGTCATTAAGAACAATTTCACACAAAACCAGTACAAAATACAAATTTTCTATTTTTTCTTTTTTACATTTTTTTATTTTCTCCTTTCTGAAAATACAGTTGCAGTTACTGTTGAACAGCACGGCACTCTTCCTTTCCCCTGCTCACGTCGCTACATACTCGTTCTGTCCATCTAACGACAGGCCAACGTTGTTCTTTCATGTCCCTGTGATAGGCCTGCCTGCATTGTCTGTTGGACTCATGTCTATGCTTTGGCGCTGTGATGCAAAGTCAAATTCCCACATTCTTTTTTTTTTTCCCCTTTTTTTTAATATTCCTGCGTCTTATCACACTTGTCTGACAAGGTTGAGACGTAGCTCTTAAACTACCGATGGTGTATACTGGTATGGCTACATCCCTGCTGTTACTGCTGTCTGCCTGTGTCTAGCCCGCAAAGCAGGCTTTCCCTGTCTCCTGCCTGCACATGCACGCAGCTGAGTGACAAAATTGTATCTTTGGGGTGGGTGGATTGGAGTCTATCCCCAGGGAGCTGTGTTGAGAACACACAGTGTGGGGTCATTTGGGTTCTATCACTG